ACATTCCCCCTCCCTGTCCGCGACCCTGCGTGTCCCTCTAAGGCCACGCCCCCACTTGAGGCCACGCCCCCTGTCAATCATCCCGCTAGCTAGGCCACGCCCCAATGGTGACCCGCCCTGAGGCCACGCCCCCTCCGCCACCGGGACCGTCCCGGATCAACCCGGGCCACCGGGGCGGACACCGTGAGACGGCCGTGAGTGAACACCTTGGGATGGCCATGGGGGGACACCGTGTGTCCGCCATGAGGTGACACTGTGGGGACCACGCCCCGTCACCGTGACCCCTCCCCGTTCCCTGGGCCCCAATATGGAGACCGCGCCCTCCCTCACGCAGAAACCACGCCCCCTCCGTCAGGAGGCCCCGCCCCGGCCGTCACGCGGCGCCGCCCCTGCCGCCCGCGCCGGGCGGACCCGCGGCCCCGCGGCCCTCGCGCGGCCTGAGGGCAGGGCCGGGGCCGGGCCGGGGTCCCGGCGGTGCCGGGGGTGCCGCTGCCGCCGCCCCCGCCGGTAAGTGCTGAGCTCCGGGCCGAGCCTGGCGCCACCGCTCCCTGCACCCGCCGTGCCGCGTCCCCGCGGCCGGGCCCGAACCCTCCCCCCCCCCCCCCCCCCCCCCCCCCACCCCCCCCCCCCCCCCCCCCCCCCCCCCCCCCCGCCCACCGCCCCTCGCGTTTTCCCGGATCCTCCCGAAAGTTTGGGAGCGCGGCGAGGGGAGCCGGGCTGGGGGCGCGTCCCCGTGCGGGGCCGGGCGGGCCGCGGGTCCCTGAGGGTCCCCTCTGCTGCGTTTCATTGTTACGGTGCTGGTTTTTTGTTGCTTTTACACCTTATTTTTCGTGTTTTATTGCTCGCGGCTCTTGGCCCTCGCTGCCCTTTATTTCATTTTTATTATTTCATTTTTTTATCCTTCTCCAGCCTCCCCTCCGCAGCAGTGCCGGTGCTGACGTGGAGCTGGAGAGGAATGATTCCCAAAAGGAATTTTTGAAATCCTGGCTCTGTCTCATGCCCTCCCCCGGCTGTTTTCCAGCAGCCCCTGTCCAGGTGCAGGTTTGGGGTCATTTCACCCCAATTTTCCAGCAGCCCCTGTCCAGGTGCAGGTTTGGGGTCATTTCACCCCAATTTTCCAGCAGCCCTTATCCAGGTGCAGGTTTGGGGTCATTTCACCCCAATTTTCCAGCAGCCCCTCACATATCCAGGTATGGGCGTTTCTCCCTCTATCCACGTTTCTCCAGAGGCTTTGGAAGCACCTCGGATTCATGGTGGGCTCTGGCAGAGCTGGAAAAGCCCAGTTTGAGGTGGCTGTGCCAGCTGGCTACGCCCCGGTGGGACAGGTGAACGTGAGGGGTTTATCGGCAATCCCAGAATTCCAGAATCAGGGAATGGGTTGGGTTGGGAGGGACCTTAAAGCCCATCCATGCTGAGGGCAGCGATGCCAGATCAATATAGAAGCAGAGCAACTCAGACCTGAGGAATAAAAATAAGGCTGGGATTGTGGGTTTGCTGTGGGGCTGCAGGAGCAGAGGGCATCGTTTGGATGTATTTTTAATTCATTAAAAACACATTTATTAGGCTAAACACCTCGGGAAGGTTTCCTGGCCTCCTGTCAGTCAGTCGATGCCTGGGGCATTACAGCTTGGGAGCACATTGGGATTTTAATGCATTTAATTTCTCCATCCTCACCTCTGCAAAAGAAACATGATTATAATTGTTTTATTTCTCCTGTTCCTGACAGCAGTCCAGGGTCAAATTTCAAACCTACCTCTCTGCTTCCGGGATAATCTGATCAAGGGGTTCACAGTGGGTGTTTTTAAGGCGATTCTCTCTGGCTGGACAGATTATTTTAAAAACAACAGAAATCTTCTATTAAAAAAAAAAAATCCAGGGTGGTAACCAGAGTGGTTTTTCCCTGGACACGTGCCTGGGGGGGGCTGTGTCCTGGTTTGGCCTCCCTCAGGATGCTCTCTGGAGAGGAGAGCATCCTCCCAGCACGAGGGCTGGGAGAGCTGGGAGGGGGTTTGGGACGTGCTAGTTCTCATTTTAGGGTAGCCAAACCTGATCACCCCGGAGACAAAAATTCTGGGAGGCTGCAGGGCTCGGAGTGGGGGTCAGAGCTGCCTGTCCCCAGCGATTCTGCCCAGCGGAGATGTGCGGTTTTCCTGCTCTGGCAAAACCCGTACATTTAAGCGACATTTTGGATTTTGGAAGTGGAGGGAGAGCTCGGAGGCTCCTGCAGCCGCTGATGGAGCCCAGAGACCCCGGTGCTTTCAGGCGAGCTGCCGTGTCCTCACCTCTGCCCTCTCCCTGTGCCTCAGGTCGGCGGTGATGTGTCCATCCCTGCTCCCGGAGCTCCGCGCTCCCAAAGGCGCCGCTTCCAGCTAGATGCGATCCCGGGGCGCTGCCATGGAAACGGGCAGCCCTGAGAAGCGGGACGGAGGGGACCAGCGGCGACAGGAGGGCGGGGACGCCCCTCCCGACAGCGCCAACGGCTCGGTGGTGGCAGCGGAGCCGCAGCAGCCGCCCCCCGGCAAGCTGAGGAAAACTGCCTTCAAGCTGTTCGGGGGCAAGCGCAGCATCTGCACCCTGCCCAGCTTCTTCGGCGGCCGCGGCAAGAAGGGGCTCAGCAAATGCAAGACCCACGATGGGCTGAGCAGCGCCGGCTGCGACAAGGGAGGGGGCACACAGCCGGACAGCCCCTCGGAGGGCAGCAGGGATGGGCAGCACGGAGCCCTGCCCAGCTCCCGCAGCGCCCAGCTGGCCACGGACAGCAGCAGCAGGGGCGAGCTGGGCCAGCACGACAGCTCTCCCCGCGGGAGTATGGAGGGCTGTGACAAAAAGCCCAGCGGCGAGAAATCC